GTTGACCTTATCTTTATTGTTTGGTGTTTGGATAATATTTTGCAATGGAATTTTCAAGTGCATTCTTTCTAATGAAAATAGATATGCATTTTTTACAATCTTTATAGACAGCAAGGTTGCGAGACGTACCATCAGCTGTCCAAGAGGCAGGATTTCAAGAATCCGCACAGATAAGAGAGAAAGAACAAAAAGCTACATGTTAGAGAGTGACTTCCAACTGGAAGTTCTGCTCCGAGGACCCACTCATTTCTCAGCCTTCAGAGCAGTTCAGAGGACCACTTCATTTGTAAGGCTGTGGCAATGGCTAGGATTCCTGGATAAAAGCAAAACCTGCCACGATTTGGGCAGGGAAGGTGGGGGGAAAGGCTGGTATCCATTTTGCAAAACCAGCTTATTGGGGTTAGCACTGTTACTCTGACAGAACGGGAGGCTTATCCTCCAGCTCTATATGGCATGAAAATGGTGTCACTTAAAGACCCAGAGGCCCTTTGAGATGCTACGAGCAAAGTCACTTCTCAGTTCCACGGTTACCTGTATTTCTAAATAATCAGTTACCATGATGTATTTCATGAAGCTTTTCCCTATACAAAACCTCATATAATCATTAAAGGGAAAAAAAAAAACAAACAACAACTGCAGAATGCTTTAATGCTGCTATGAACTGTATTCATTGTAATGTGGATTTTCAGTCAAAAATCTAGACGTGCTTGTAAGACACAGACTGCCTTCCTAGAACAAAGCACTTAACTAGACCCACATGCCATGACCACAAAAATAACCTGCTGAGAAGGAGAGAGCCAGCTACAGGGATGCTGCTTTAGCTTAAAAAAAAAATCTTGTTGCTGGCAAGGAAACATGAAGCTGTAGCAACACCACATTTTTCATGAGTCTCAGATCAATATACAGCTATATGCCTTTTGTGCTGAAACAGCTACATTATGTGGTAGGCGGCATCCGAATTTTCAATATGGTGCATTTTTTAGTTGATTTAGAAATATTTGGATGGCATGCCCACCTTATCACAAAAGTCTGACGTTTTTTTGATTCATGGCAAGTCTTTACTGTCAGCAACCAGCCAGTGGAAATATAGACAAACAGAGGTTAAGAATTCAGTCTTAAAAGTGAAAGGACATTATGACATGTTAATCGTATTATACTGTATTACACCTTAAGCAATTTCATTGCTGTGTCTGCAACATTTAAACTTTTATTAGCTTCTCTGGATGGGAAAGCAACTGAGAGTTCAAACCACAGAAAAGGAAAGGACATGTTTGGTGTTGCTTTACTCCCTCTGTTTTTTTAATAAAAGGACAACAGCTTTGGTAATAATCACTCTAAACAAAATTGTATTTGATTACATTTAATGCACACTCACTGACATAAAAATGGTAATTTGAAACAAAACCTGACTAACATATCACAGACCAACAAGATATATACATTTACAGAACAGGTACTCCGTATGTTTAGAATGTCTCTAGAAGAACTATGTAGCAATACACAAAATCAAAGATAAATATAAAACCTGCGAGGTTATCAACCAGTGTTTTATGGAAAAATAAAAAGGCCCACCATATTTTGTAACATAGTTATTAGAGAACATATATATGCAATATATAATTAATTTAAAGCTGAAACAGTTTTCTAGTTTGAAAGAAAAAATTAATCAGTTTATTCTTCCCAGTGTCAATACTTTAAGCATATTTTCAATTAATTTTTCCATTTTACTGCTTACAAACACTTAAAAGACGACAAGCTACAAATCCAGTCCTCTGAATCATTTTTAAAAGGACTGCATTCTGTTTTAATAGGAAAATGTTATGCACTACATAATATGAAGGCGGTGGCAGCAGCTGTGGGTTCTCTATCACAGGTTTGCAAACACATTTAATCTAATTGATGAGCTTTTGTTTAAACAAGCATTGATATGCATCCTGTGATGCATATGGGTTGCAAATATTCACGGCGACATACAGCCCAAGCGATCTCTCTGTGATGCTGAACCAACTTTTATATGACCGAGAATGTGAAATATCTTCATGAATGCTTTTTTCATACAAAAAATCCTGCACAGTTATATAGCTAAATTCATTCTGGTTCCCACTGTAATCTACAATACAATTCTCACTGATTTTAACAGGACAATCAGGACCATTTGGATAAACGTTTGTCCTCTGTGCTTTGGAATTTAAAAAATTAATGTGAAATCCGCCATTACTGCAAGCAACTTATACAAGCTTATACACTCAGGCACATATAAACTCCATTATAGGTTCCACAGCGTCATCTGAGGTAACACCATGTTTTGCAAACACAACTGAAAGCTTCATGTGATTTTCTTTTATTGTAAACATCTTCCTTGCTCAGAATTGAGAAAAAACCTATCATCTTTGCTTTACTGTTATTAAAATCAATTAGATATGTCAAATATACAATCAGAAAACACTTGGTTTGATCTCATTTGGCCAAATACAAATCTATTTTTGCAGAATGCCGTAACATGCGATTTTACATCAAGTTGCCATCAGAGAAAGTCTATGTTGAACCTGTATCACTGATATTCAGGGTCATCTTTATTGAATAAGCAGTAGGAATACAGCTTCAGAAATTTAGACAGTAAAAAATTGTTTCTTCTTTTTCTTCTAGTATAATTTGAAGATGTTCAGAGGCTCAATGTGTGTCAACAATTTTAATTGACAGACTGTATTTTTGTCAGTATTTCGCACATGCAAAGCTTTTCTCCAAATAAAAGCAGAAGTCCACTTGGAACTTACTGTGACTACATTTTTGTGAATTCTGAATTTCTTTGATATACAGAAAAGCAGTGATTCTCGCTCTCCCATTATGGAAGCAAATTTAAAAAAACAACAACATCAAATATAAACAACAACAACAACAAAAATACCTAAACAGTAAGATTTAATGGATTTAATGCATGTTATCATTTAGTAAAATTGCAGAAAATGGGTAGGTGAGAAGGAAGGAATGGGGTCTCCTGTTTACCACAGTGCCTTGTTCTCTACGAAAATGCTGAATAGATGCTTAATTACAGGAAAAACTATGAATATTGCACAAAACAGTGCAATGGTAGTTGTCATTCCCACAGGGACCTCAATCCATGAAAAGAAGACCCATTGTAAAACTTCAATAATTCAGGAGACATATGGGATGGTTAAAGCAGGGCTCTTTTGCATAGAGAAATCAGAGGAAAACAATATCCAACAGAAGTATTCCATTTACAATTATTCTAGTCAGAAAAGTTTCAGTGTTTGCTCTTTTCCCTAAAATCCCCTGTGGTTAATTATAAATCCATTGGGAAGTTCCTTCCAAAATCCCCTTACAGCTCTACTTCCAGTTCCTTCTGCAATTCCCTCACAAAGCAGTAATTTTTGGCATAGTTTGTGCCACCTCTACAGATCAATTCAGCATCTCCCTCTCTCTCCTAAGGCAGAAGTTGCTGTGAGCTCCCTGCACTGCAGCGCAATGCAGCCCAAGTACCAGCAGTACCAATTGTGTTTGTCTGAGTAGGTTTCCCTTGTGTTGTACTAACCTCTGCAATCCCCCCCCCCCCCCGCCCCCTCCTCCCTATCAGAGATACACTCATCAGCCTCCTAACCCTTTACGGGAAGGAGAGCAGGATGCTATCCATCACAGAGGAACCTCTGGATGATCTCAGCATCTTTCGATGAGGTGATCTCCCTCCTCCCCGCCTATCTTTATAAGCTTCTTCCTCATCTTTTCCTTCTCTCCTCGGCCCCCTCTTTCTGTACAGATGTGCTGTGGCCGCCCCAGCCAGTATGACTCAGCTCCCACCCTTGCCCCCCACTCTCCCTGCACCCACAGTGCTTTGCAGAATCAGGCTCCCAAGACTCATCATTGACCTCCATGCTCAATTACCCTCATGTCACCCAGCCCTCAGGTCCCTGGGGTGTCCTGCCTCCACTCAAGGCTGCCAGACGAACTCCTCTGCCTCTTTGCATCCCTCTGACGCTTCTGCTCTGCAATCCTCTTTAAATTAGACAGGGATCGCCTCAAAAAACCTTACCATCCCACAGCTCTTCCTAACCCTGGCACTTGCACTATAATTTTCCCCCCTCTGACTTCCTCATGCCCCTCTCCCCATATACTGCCAGAGGCATCTTGGGATCCAAATCCCCAAAGCACCAGGAAGGCAGTAACTCAGTGTATTTCGGAAAAGTCCTTTCCTGAAGCTGTAAGGAAGGGAATCCCTCTTTCCCTGCATGGATCATGAATGCTAAACTATTCCCTCAACGTAGTCAACGTGAGTTACAATCCTTGAAAGGATTCTACAGTGAGAAAAGCAACACTATGTTCAAAACCACTGAGATTGTTTATTTTCTTTGTTTTCTTTCTATTTTCTTTTTCTGTTGCAGGGTCTGAAACCCTGCCTGTTCTCTTAATCTTTGAAAGTGCCAGTTCCCTAAGGAGCTGGAATCCCAACACCCTTCCTGCATCTTTGATTTCCCTCGCCATCCTTACCTTTACCGTCTGCGGGCTTGTTTTCTTCAAACATCTGGAGCCTGCGAACCTCAACACCCCTGTTTTTTCGCTCCCCTAGCGTGCAAAAGTTCTGCCAGCCTTAATACACCAGTCAGCTTCAAAAGCAGAGATTAGAGGCTCACACCGCCCCGGATCTGTGCAACCTGCTCTCTCTGTGCAAGAGAGGGTGCGAGCTCTGGTAGAGCTGGAGTGAGCAGCAGCCGAGCAAAGACTGCTCCCGCTCACCGCCGGGATGCGGGGGAACCCCCGCGCTCCCTGTAACGCTCGACCTGCCCCGAAGAGACCTCTTCCCCCTTCCCAGCCAGCAAACCCCCAGTTAAGTAAGTGTCGTGGAAAAGTTGCAAGTCCTCCTCCGCCGCAAGCATGCAAATAATAAACAAAACAAAAACAAAACAAGCCAAAAAAAAGAAAAAAAATGAAAAAGGGAAAAGTTGCTCGGGAGCGGCAGCGGCCGCCCGGCTGCCTGGAGCATCACTTACCGGTGCGGGCGGGCTGCCGGGCGTTCCCGGCTCCCTCCGCTCCCGCTGCCGCCTGCTCCCGCCGCGGGGCTGCGGGGAGGGAGCGAGGAGACTCCCGGAGGAGCCGCCGAGCGTGACAGACCCGAGGAGGGGGCGGACCGGAGTGGCTTGTGCGGGCTTCGCCTTGCGGTGAAGCCTCTGCTGCAGTGCCGGGGAGAGAGACAGAGAGGCGCGGAGGCGCGGTGCGGTGCGGTGCGGCGCGGAGGGAGGCACGGGCGCGGGCGGCGGC